TTGTTTCACTGTACAAAATTTTATAATTTGAAGTTTTGAAATTACTCTTGAAATACTTTATATTTAAGATTTTATGGTTCTTGATGCTCTCAGAAAATTACAACTAATTCTTTTAGTTATGATGTTTTCCTTTTTAGTTTGATGTCTTTGGTTTTATAATTAACCTATCAAACATTCAATACAACGATTTTTTATTTTTTTCTATTTTTACCAACAAAGACAAAAATTTAAAATTGAGATTAATATATATGATTTCAGTAAATTGAAAAATATTCAGTTAATATAAGATGGGCAAAAATTTAACAACATTCAAATGTTTTTAACAAATAGTTTATCCAGTTTATATAATATCATATAGTATATGAGAATCATTTTTTTTTTAAATATACCTTCTATACACTATTTTATACATAAATTCATTTAAAAAAAAACAAGTACTATCTTATATAGGAATGCCTTTAAGAAAATTTCCTAAGATAGACCTAAAACTTTTTTTGTCACAAATATAGATCTTAAAAATAAAAATAATATATTTACATGTTTTATCAAAGATAAATAAATATACACTTATACCCTTTGAATTAACTGATCCTATAGATTTTTGTTTAGAGTTGAGGAGTAAGGTTTTGAGGATAGAATTTCATTTTTTTTTAAACTTAAATTTTTCAAAATACAAAATGCTATTTTGGTCATTTTAGTTTTTGAGGTCTATTTTGTGATAAAAACTTAAAAAGTCAATTTGAGAAAATTGTCCATAATTTAAATACGCAACTTGAAATATTTACTATAGTTACAAAAATCATATTAAATCAAATTAATATTAATTAAAAATATAATTACAAGAAACAAAAAAAATTGCCCAAAATATTATTAAAAAAAAATATACCCGCCATAATCTAGTTCGTTTCTAAAGCAAGAAAAATATTATAATGACCAGTTGTTGTATGTAGTTTATCAATCAATTGTAATAGAGATTATACCGTGATTGATGTACTTTTTGCTAAAAAAAAGTTATTTCTTTTTTTTTTGGTCAAAAAAGTGATCTAATTATAAAAGAAGGGTTTCGCTCTTAGTGTGCCATGTCACTAAATAAAGAGAGGGGAAAGTGACATGTGTCTCTCTTTTAGTTCTCTATGTTTGGGATTATTTGTGCGGGCTTTATAATTTAATTAAATGGGCTTTTGAAATATGTAATGTAGTTTGGTCAGAAGACTCAGAACTTATTATCTATACACGACAACAACACTCTTCATCTCCATCTCCGCTTTCTAGGGTTCTCGGTGTTCTTCAACTTCAGCTTTTGTAAACCAAAAATAGAGTTAGTTGAAGGTATGGAGACAAATTTATACGGCTTACCTTTAGAGCGTCTATTCGTGCCATTTAGAATGGATTTCCTTACGCCGGATAAGGAAAAATCAAACCGTTACGGGATGCAATCAATTGTTCCGGGATGCATCAATTGCAAACTTCTTTTTAGCAGAGTGGCTAACCCATCTCTCCTTCTTGCTGAGTTCAAAGGTGGTCGCTGTAGCACCACTGTCATACTCTATTTTCTCAGATTTTTGGAGCGAGCTGCCGTTTTTGTCGTTTGGTCTGGCTTTCTTCTCGCTGACAAGGAAACCGGGTCGTTATGGGTTTTTGGTGTCTTATCTATCCTTGCAGTTCCGGATTGCAAGCTTACAATGAGTCATAGGATTATGAACTAAACATGATCAAATCAGAAGCCAAACTAATCACATGAAATATTTCAGTAAGGGTCAATACCTATGGCAAGACAACTTATTTTTTTATAATTATATGATTATATAATTTAGAATTAAATCCTCATGTTGGAGACAAATTACAACTATAAATGAGATTGCTGGTGTTTATCTATTTTTGCAGGCCCAGATTGCAAACTTTCAAGAGAAAGTTGATCAGGTAGATGTTACATAGAAGTATTCTCACATACGGAGTTATGTTGGAAACATGCTGGCAGCTCATGATTTGTCTATCACTTTTAAGGGTAATTCTTTTGTCTTAGTTAAAACGTTTCCAATCCAAACATTAACTTATATGTGTTTCGTGTGTCAAGACTGGCAGATGAACTTAGGTTTCTGTAATATTTAAAACACTGCAGATAAATTTTCTCATGATAATATTTTGAATCTATCATTTATTGGTCACAACATTGCGGGCATGTCTATGGTTTTAAATTAGAGTAGTTTCCTTCTTTTTAAATTTGTTCTTAAATCTAAGAAAAATATAGGGTAATGAGGTAGATCTTGAATACCAAATATTATCATGAGAGTAGTGTAAATTTAGCTGTAAAGAAAGATTAAGAATATAGATTTCTCACATGTAGGACACCAACAGAAACTAGAACGTGATTTTCTTCCTTTCTTTTATTGTTCTTTCCACAAATATCTAAATGTTCTGTTGTTTTCTCTGATTTTACTAATGCCACTCTTGGATAGGAACCATACAATAGGCTCAACATGGGAGACTAGATGTTCTATGTTTTCTTCTGTTCTTCAGAAAATGTATTCTTCTGTCTCTTTGAGTTAATTCAGAATGGAGGCTTAGTTTGTTGAGATTCCTGAGGAAGCTAGAGAGCTTGAAAAGCAACTCAGACAGATCACTAAGTAGAAGAATGAAGCTGTGTGAGGCCACAACTTTGAGAAGGTATTTTCTTACTGTCTATAAACCCAAGGTTAATGTTAACAATTCCATTCGTTCTTCTCATATAGGTTGAATCTCACTATCACCAGAATTAGAACTTAGATATGAGATAGCTGCTATTTTAGCCAACAGCAAACAAGTGAGCAAAGCTGATACTGAAACTGGCAAAGAAAGAGGACTTACTGTCACTAAATCTGACATCAACCACATTATCTCTACCTATTTAGGAATACCGATAGAGAAAGTATTGTCTGATAAATTTAGCTGTCTTCCCAACATTGAGCATGGCCTTCACACGAGTTATTGGCGAAGACGAAAGCTGTCAAAGCTATTATATGGGCTCAAAGAACCCGAACCGCCGAATTTCAATGTTACGATTTTCTTTCGTGTTCTATGTACTTTATATTTAGTGTAGTATTTCTTCTATGTTGCTTGATCCTACATCTAAAAATCACTCTGTTTGTGTTTTGCTACAAACATATTTTGTAAACTATCCATTTCCAAAATGTACTTATTATTTCTCATAGTTTTTTCTTGACTATTTTGGTGGCAGTTTAAAGTATTTCACCATAAAAGTATTTCTTCTCTTTACGTCAATTGCTTCTCAATTCAGCAAAGTATGGAGGTGTTCAGAAAGTAGAACATGTAGTGGTGCCAGAAACGCCTACTTTCTAACATACCCGAACTTACCCTTCCTGCTGTATTTACCTAGAAAATCTTTCATTCTCACAGTCTCTACCTATATGTTTCTCAGACTACAGAGTTTATGTGAGCCAACAAACCTGCATGCATTGAAACCACAAACGATGATGATGCTACATTCATAAATGTTGGCCAAAGAATGAACAAGCTTACAAAACTCTTATGTAAATAAATATTCTCAGTGGTAGGTTTTACTCCGGCGTAGTAGTTACTGGTATGTAAATGATTATCCTGAAACAAACACCAAGATTATAAATCAAAATTCATCTTAGTTTGTACACATTTGTAAACAAACTTCTAACAATACACAAAATCTTATATCAGCACTTACTTCTAAAACGGTTTTAATCACATCATATAACTTCTATGGAGGGTTTATAGAAATGAACAACTCATAGGCCGCATGAGCCACTTTCATCGCTGCTCAATCATAGATCTCATATAAAAGAAGTGGTTTAAGTTTGGGGATTGTTCACGACAAAGTCAGCAATGTTTGGATGGAAGGTGAGATGTGGGAATGAAAGTGAAAACACAGTCTAGGCATATTTAAGTAGCTTATCTTGGTTGTCTATATTGTTTTGTTCAAAGAGAAAAAACCTTAGTTACATATCCTGCTTTAGTGCATTATCGTGTTACATAATAAATACAATATAAATAAAACCACAACACAAATTTTGTTATACTTTTTTTTCTTACTTTGGTAATAATTATTTTGAAAAACAACAAAATTTTGAGATAAAAATACTATTATGATTATTGCTCAAAATTGATTTTATATATAATATAAACGGTATAGTTACATCAAACCAGCCATAGGACAAAGTGAAACAAAATTTTGAGAATGCAAATTTTCAAACACCCGTGAAAATTATGAATTCAATGATTCTAAAACCGAAATAAAAATTTAATTGATAGTAAATTTATCAATATTTTACATCAAACCTTATGTAAGTAAGATAAATAACATTTAGATAATAGGTTTCATTAATTGGGTTAGAAATGCATAAACTTTGTTGTAAGAATTTAGTCTGAAATTTTAGTGATGTAGTTGGAAGTTTTTGTATTTAGAAAATATTTTTTAAAAATAAACAACTGATTTAAGAAAAAAACATAAAATATATAGGTTTGTAGATTAAGGGGAGGGTCAATTAAATTAAGACTAATTCGAAACAAAAGCTAGAAATTGTGTTAAGTGAAATGAAACATGTCTACAATTCAACCAATGAAACACCATAACTAAAATTAAATTATTATTTTTTCATTAAGCTCATCATCTAATATATAATTTCTCATAACAAAAGAAATTGAATACTAAATTTTTTTATATGCATAAGACAAAACAATGAATAATTTAAAATCATTTTAATTGTCTATTACTTATATTTTTATAATAGATTATATTATTTAGATAATAAAATAAACAAACTAAATATATAATCAAAATTAAAATTTAAATAAAGAATCCGGGCGTAACCCTAGTTTCAAATAAACATTTCCAATACTAATTTGGCAGGTTTTCCGTTGAGGTACGGATTTGGAAACAAATTACAAGGAGTATTTTTACTGGGCTAATTTATAAATGGTAACTTATACGTGAGTCAAACTGTAAATTTGATACTTTTGTTTAATTCGTCGTGCGAAGACGGAAGAGAAGGCTGCAAATCGGATTTGGAGAAACCCTAGAAACCGGCAAGGGAGGTGGAATCTTTGGGCTCGAGACGATGAATAGCAACTGGTCTAATTTGCATCAGGTCTTTCGAGTTCTCTGCTTCTTTTTTTTTCCGATCTTTGACTCTTATGCCCCCAAACTTTACAGATTGCGAGAAACTCATTCATAGCTACATCAACCGTCTACGCTTCCACCGAATTCAACTTCTCAAACACTGATCGAAGTAGCCTCTGCTTTTTTGCACGGGGTAAGTCTGCTTGAGGATACAATCTAAAATGTTCTTATTTTTCAACTCTACTGATCCCTGAAACTTGTAATTTGTAGACAGATCTGACTTTGTCGTGTTGAAATCGGAGAAAGAGTTCAACAATGCACTCAGCAAAGCTCAAGGTTAGATAAAAAAAAAACAATCATATGTCTTTCTTTGTTTGTTAATTTCTTCAGAGTATATGTTTGGTTTGATTGATTGTATCTTCTTTTCTTCAGATGGATCTTTGCCATCGGTTTTCTACTTCACTGCTGCGTGGTGTGGACCTTGTAAGTTAATTACTTCTCTGCAACCAAGTTTTGGTTCTTTTGGCTTTTTTGTTAATGTTGCGACTTTAGGCAGGCTTATCGCTCCTGTAATGTTGGAGCTCAATAAGAAATATCCTCATGTTACAACATACAAGGTCGACATTGATGAGGTATGTTTGCATTGACATACGACCTAAGCCACCAATGTTGTTGTGTTTCATTATTGGAAGTATCTTCTTGTACTGGGTATATAATATCACGACTGTTTTACTGATGTTACATCCTTATAAGTCACATACTGAGTATAGAAAATGGTTGTGGTTGAGCCACACATAAATTAAACTGTTTCTTTGTATCCCATCTTCTTCTTATGAGTATTATTAACGAAGATATCGCTTCTTGTGTATTTGTTAGGGCGGTCTTTCAAATGCTCTTGGGAAGTTAAATGTCACTGCTGTGGTAAACATCTTTTGTTCCTTTATGAATATTAATATGTACATTCTACGATCAAGCATGAAACTTGTTTTTTTTTTTATAAAAAAAAATTGATATGACCTCTAGTCTTATGAATGTCTGAGATCCATCCATCTAATGGAGCCTAATCATGATGGTTAATGCATGCAGCCAACAATGCAATTCTTCAAAGGGGGCGTTAAGAAAGCAGAGATTGTAGGTGCAGATGTCATTAAGCTGAGGAGTATCATGGAACATCTCTACAAGTGAGAGAGACTTTGTAACTTGTGTTACATTTTTTTTTTTTGCTGCGCTGCGTCAAAGAAATGCACTAAGTGATTACGAACAAGGAAACAAAAAAACTTTGTTAAGATCGTTTTGAGACTCACTGTCTCACAGCATTTATTTATCAATGTACATAGTTTATGTGATTTTATCAAATAAGTTTCATTACTTTTAGTTATGGGAAGGTAACTCAAATATTATGAATTTTAGAATTTATTGTGAAAACCATACAAATCTTTTTTTTTTTACTATTTTTTAATATATGCGTGTCCTTTTTTTATGTTGTGAGAAAAAACGTATTTAGAAGAATGTCATTACTTTTTACTGTTATGTATATAAAAAGTCGGCTACACGTAAGAATGTGGCATGAAACTCAGCCGTAATACGATACGAACTTCGTTATGGTCGAGTTATAGTTACGTTGCGGCTGACATAAAGAACGCAACTGACTTATGAAAAAATAAGCTGACTTAAAAAAAATCGGGCTGGTTTATGTGATAACGGCTAAGTTATGGTCGCATGTTACGACTGATTATACATCAGCGAGCTGATTTCTGGAAAATCCGGTTGAGTTCTAGTTACGATACGGCTTAGTGAATTATCGCGGCTGGTTAAATGATCGTCGACATGCTGAGTTATGAGAGGTTTTTACGGCTGAGTTATATTTAATCACCCGTAATAAAATGGACTAACAGTAAACTTAGTTGAATTACGTCTGACTTATTAGCGAAAGATTAATTACTAGAGTAACATTCATTTATCGGCTGATTTATTAGACGATATGGCTGACTTATTGTGTTTCATCTTTGTTATGGCTGATTTATTAGCAAAAGATTAATTACTAAAATAGTATTCACGTTTTGACTGACTTACGGTGTACTTGGTGGCTGACTTAAGTGTTCGTTTGGTGACTGAATTACCGATTTTCCTTTTCATCATCCATGTCAGCTTTTATTTGCCATGTCATTACTAACGTTACAACAATGAAATTATGGCTTATGTTACAGACGCCACTATATGTTCTTTACCTTCTTCTCTTTCTCTAAAATCTTATGGATCCGGTAATTATTGTTTCAGGTAACTGGATTAAGAAACACAAATATATGTATTCAAACCCGATAGTAGAGGATGTATAGTTCTGCATGCAGATGAGAAAACAACACACGACGAACTCGCAAAGTCAGTACTCGATGATTACATATTGAATGAGTCGAGTCATCAGATTCAGCTAAGCTACATGTTCTTGAATAAAGCTTTGAAAACAATGGCTCACGACACGCCACTAGTTTACGTCTCCAATACTCGTCAATTGCAAAATTCTTTAAGCGTAAGGAAAATCAAAAAATTACGTCTCTGTGTAGAGATTAAAGAGAACGAGGATGATGAAATCAGCTGGAAAGACGGAGCGGGAGAGAAGAGTAATAGATTATACAGTTTCAGCTCAGAAGCAGAAGTCTCAGAAGTTGAATTTAGATACGATGGTTTTAGTTTGGAGGAGGAACACGACGACAATGAGAATAACTTCTCTAGTATCTTGGACGGAGAAAAACATAAAGATGTTGGAGAAGATGAAGAAGGCGAAGAAGACGGTGAATTTGAAAGTCGATTTGATATGTTCGATGACTCAGATGGTGCGTCATCCGAAGATGATAACTTTAGCTCATACGGTGAGTGTCCAGCACAAGACGAAGATTCACCGACAGTATCGCTTAAAAAGAGATCTCAGACGACTGAAACTTCTTACAGTTGGAGCGGGTCTAAAGAGGATTCAGAGGTTATAAGGTTGGAGATGTCTTCGCTAAAACTTGATGTTGGACAACGATACGAGAGTAAAGCTGAGTTGGAAAGACGACTGAAACTTCTTACAGTGAGAGATCGATTTGATTTTGATGTGGAAGTATCCAATCCTGATTTACTCATTGTTAAATGTTGGGTTGGTGGATGTCTCTGGAGAGTTTGTACTTCAGCACAAGGGGATTCCTTGACATTCTATGTTCGTATTTACGATTCGGAACATACATGTTCTGTAACTGACCGTTCTAATCGATCTCGACAAGCAACACCAGATATTTTAGGATAATTTTACAGGGACTTTCTCGGCGACGTTGATCCGGCCGTTCGACCTACGAGTGTCGGAATATCTCTCAATGAACAGTTTGGTCTCAAGGTACTTATTTTAGTAAGGCTGACTTATATCAACGTTGCAGCTGAGTTATATCTACACTTTGTGGCTGACTTATATTAACGTTCGGCTGGGTTAGTTAAGTGATTGGCTGAGTTATATAAATTTCGAACGATGTGGCTGAGTTAGCTAAGTTATTGGGCTGGATTATATAAACTTTGAACGATGCGGCTGAGTTAGCTAAGTTATTTGGCTGGGTTATTTAAACTTCAACGTTGCGGCTGATTTAGTTAAGTTATTGGGCTGGGTTATTTATATGTTACGGCTGAGTTAGTTAAGTTATCCGACTGAGTTATTTATACGTTTTGGCTTAGTTATTAATACGTTCTGACTGAGTTAGTTAAGTGATTCGGCTGAGTTATTAATACGTTACGACTGACCTTATTTGTATTCATTTGGGCAGATGGATTATTGAAAATCATATAAGACTCTGAAATTTGTAAGGGAAATCAATGAGGGAACACCTGAGAGTGGTTTTCAAAACTTTTCTTCTTACTTATACATGATAAGAAGGGAAAATCCTGATACAATAACACGTCTTCAAATCGATGTGTTTGGAAGATTCTTTTATATGTTCCTTGCGTTTGGTGCGAGCATAAATGGGTTTCCTTTTATGCGCAAAGTTGTGGTTGTCGATGGTACGTTTCTTAATGGCAAATACAAAGGGACGCTTCTAACAACACTAGCTCAAGATGGTAACTTTCAGATTTTCCTGATGGCATTCGGTGTGGTTGATATAAAAAATTACGTTTCGTGGCACTGGTTAATATGTAACTAAAACTTTTGATTCCTGACGAAAAGGGTCTTGCGATAATCTCAGATAGGAATAACTTGATTGGGAAGGCTATTCTAAATGTGTATCCGTTGGCTTCTCGAGGAATTTGCACGTACCATTTATATAAGAACATTTTGGGACGGTACAAAGGATAAGATGTATTTTGTCTGGTGAAGAAAGCGGCAAGCTGTTTTAAGATGCCTGACTTTAATGCAATGTTTGAGGAGAATGAAGCTATTAATCATGACCTTCATGGGTACTTCCAAAGAGCTGATGTCAGACTGTGGGTGCATGTTCATTTTCCAGGCGAAAGGTACAATTTGATGACTACGAACATAGCGGAATCAATGAATAGAGCATTATCAAATGCTAGAGGTCTTAACATTGTTCAACTACTAGAATCAATACAGGTTATGATGACAAGATGGTTTGCTGAATGGAGAGAGGATGCTGAATCGCAGCGAACCACGCTTACACGTGGTGTAGAGAAACTACTACTTGTAAGTCAGTCGTATCATTAAATAAGTCAGCTTAAATTGATTACATAAGTCAGCCGTATCATTTAATAAATCAGCCTAATTAGATTTCATAAGTTAGTCTAAGTAGATTTCATAACTCAGTCGTAGCAACGAATAAGTAGCCTAAATAGATTTCATAAGCCAGCCGTATCATTTAATAAGCCAGCCTAATTAGATTTCATAAGTCAACCTAATTAGATTTCATAACTTAGTCTCTAATGTTTTTCATTGTTTATTTATAATACGGCCGTGTTACTACCGCGAGACTGTTGACGGTACAAAGGATCGATGCTCATCACACTGAAGTTACATATGGTGAGTCTTTGCATGTTGTTAACTTGAAAGGGAGAAAGTGCACATGCCGGCGTTTCGAACTGGATAGATTACCATGTTTCCATGCAATTGCAGCTGCGGAGTACAGGAATGTTTGTCATATATCCTTGTGCAGTCCTTACTATACCAACGCTTATTTGGTGAGCGCATATGCTCAATCGGTCATGCCAGTTGATTCCACGCAACCAGTTCCAGAAAACGTGGTGAACCAGCCATGCTTGCCCCCGTCAATTTTTCTAGAGCCAGAAAGACCTAAGAACAATAGGATGAAATCTGCTTTGGAAGTTTCACTTGAAAACAAACGTCCTAGGAAAGAACACACATGTTCTTGTTGTAGACAGATTGGCCATAATGTGAAAACTTTTCCGATGTAAGAGTATTGTATAAATTTTGCTCCTTTTTTGTATTACGGCTGAGTTACGGTTAAATGATGGTACTTATTTATGGATTTTTCATGTTTTTTTTTGTATTTCGGCTGAGTTTTGGTTTAATTGTGGTTGAGTTCTGGTTGAATTAGGTTTTGGTTATATTACGGTTGAGTTTTTATTTCACATACGGCTGGGTATTAGGTTTTGGTTAATTTACTCCCTCCGGCTGGGTTAAAATATTCCCGCCCAAAATTCCGGCCGCAATTTAAATGATTAACGGCTGAGTTATTAAATTCTTAATGGTAGAGTTATTTAATGACTAATGGCAGAGTTATTAAATGACTAACGGCTGAGTTGTATTACGGCTGGTTGTATTACCGCTGATTTATAGGTCTATTACGGCTGAGTTATACGGCTGAGATAATGAAAAGAGAAGGCTGAGTTACATAAAGTGATTACAATACACGATTAGATTAAACCTTATTATAGTATAAAAATACGACCAAAAAGAACACACAAACCACCACATTCCTAACACACCGCACCTCGGATTTTTTCTTGCTTCCTTCAAACTCTTTCTCCAACCAACCAAATTTAGCTCTGACATTCGCCAAGTCTTTGTTAACCTCATATCCTCAACCTCTTCTACCAATCCAAACTCTAGTTAGCATCCAATCAGGCTTCTTGCCACCAAGCGCCTAATTCCTCTTCATCATCCGAGTTTGATGACGAAATATCGTTCTGGCTACGCAATTAAAATTCTCACAAACTTCGTAATTATGCTTCGGATCCCAAGTGTTATTTCGCCAAAAAAAAACATAACGAATTTTAGAAACATAAAAACTAATTTTAGATCTAATATGGATACATAATCAATGCTTACAACGAGTTCAAGAAACCAGCGTTCCTTAAAATGATTGGGAATAACACGGTAAGTTGGCCACTTATGAACGCATCCTTCTCGAAGAATGGGTGGGATCGCAACCTATAGATCATGCAAAAACCTAAACCACACTACAATGGTTTGTCAACACATAGACCCACCCCAGG